TCCCAGTGTCGCATTACCGAGTGATCAATTAAAATTTACAATTTAAGGTTCGGCTGAAAAGTCGGTGTTGGGTTTTTCTGCACTCAATCACTTTGCCAGTAAGCGATTTCTTTAAACAAGGAATCAAAATTTGAAATTTACCAGGAGAAGTTCCAATAAGAAATCCGCCTTTCTTCTTCATTTCGTTTCCCCAAACGTACTGGATTGTACCTTCGATGTTCTAGAATCGTATAGGATTTGCCATGAATTAACGAACCACAAGCAGTCCACCCTACCATATCTAGTGAAGATAATTTTGCAGTAAACATGCAATCACAAAATTAACCTCGACAGTTGTATAGTATCCGTGATAGTTGATCGCGCCCGCTTTCTGGAAATTGTAATAGACTGCCCAATTGTGTTGACCATCAAGCGTTCCGTCCTTCCATTCCCCAATGAACACGTGCTCAAAACCTGTGAGATGATATGTGAGATACTATAGTGGTAGGCGAATGACTACTCAAAGAAATTTCTCTCACCAGAACTTCCGACGGTGCCCGCAGAACAGCGGGAGTAGGTTCCATACCAAAAGTTGAAGAGGAATGTTTTGAAAGTGGTAAGATCTTTTGCGTGAGTGTTTCCTAAACTTATCTACTACTAATATAAATTTCACTCATGTAAAGTGAATTTGTGTACCGTTATTCTGCAGGAATTGGAAAGCGAGGGTAAACACTTCTGTTCCTGTCCACGTATCAATCAACTGCTGAAGCTGAGTCTTGCGAAAGCCGGTCATGGCTGCTTCTGCGGTGCAAACCTAACAAATATTTCAGCTAGGAGTGCTTGTGATGTTTTAAAAATTTTTGTTACAACACTGAACTGAATTTACTTATGGAAACACATTTATTTGAATTCTTAGAAGTGTATTTCTTACGTCATGTGTAAAAAGGTTATTCTGGACGACAGTGAGCAAATTGGCGTAGACAGCCCGTTTTAAAAGCGTTTCGTTAACGTACACGAAGAGGCTTAATGTAATGTATTGATCAAAGCCACGCAAAAGTGTTTGGTAAATCTCTATATATCACGAACTCGTTTTTGCTACTATCTGAGGTGCCGCTCTCTTTGTTTCCCCAGTCGAGTTTGTAGTCTCCTGGTCCAGCTTTGTCAACATCAGCACTTCTCATTTTATTGACGAGATCCTGGAAATAAAGATAAAAGTATTCTGAGATATATAACTACAA